ATCTAAAAATTATGAATCGTGATTTGTATTTACGCGTTTTAAAAATTCTATATCCCAGTTTGTATTTTCTCATTTTCAAAATCGTATATCTAGTTTCATATTCATGTGATTTCAAAATCCATAATTGTTATTCATATTCACTCAATTTTAAGATCAACTATCGCGATTCTCGTAAGAAGTAAATTTTTTTTTAAATAGTTACTATGAAGGTGGCCGTTTTTCTAACGACGATTTTTAGTATATGTAAGTGTTACAACATCAGAGAAACTGGAAGGGAATATATTCAAAACTTACATTCTATGCTTGCAAAGAAGAAAAAATAGGATATGTCACAAGATGTTTGAAGTTTGAAGATGGACTAACGACTAAATATAGCAAACATAAAAGATATAGCAAACAAAGGCAATCACTTAAAAAGGGATTTAATTAAATTTTTTTTTTGTTGGAAAAAGAGTTAATTAGCTCATTATCAAAATTTTATTTATAATTGCTGTTATTTATGCTATAAAATGCAAAATTCTTATCAAATAAAAAACAATTATCTAAACAGTTGCTGATTGTCATGTAATTTTTCAAACTAAAATAGCAATTTTTCTATGCTAAGGAGTTAGTATATATTTCTACTTCACTGTTATTGATATGGTTCAAAGAGTTCTAGTTAGATTAGACTATAATATGAACATAATGATTCGGTCCATTGTTAAAGTTTTTTTTCTCCAATATAATTTAAAAAGTAATATTACTGATATATTTGCTATAAATAACATAACAGTATTTATTAAAAGAAATGAAATATTAATGTATATTCTCAGTAGTTTTAATTTGCTAAACCAGGTAGTTTTTCAAGTAATGATTGTCTCTAATGTGAACTGAGGAAAAATATAATTTCCAGCTTTATTTTTTTAATTGGTAATTTTCATTTTCACTAAATGTTAAGTATCAATGTAATCCTTTATATAATAATAGATTAGTGCACAATTGTATGTCAACACATTATTTATTACCTTAAACTGTCTGGAATTTATTATTAACGTTTTGCGCTTGCGTAAAATTTACTATCGTGGAAATTCAGCTTTTTTGCCTTTTGGCTAATCTCATCCCTGCATAATGTACAACAGTTGAAAATCAAAATTCAAGTCTGGGTTATAGATAACAATAAAATCGCAATTTGGTACATAGTAATAGAAACAATTGAAGATAAAAGAAAATTATTTACACTATATATAAGTACTAACTCCACTGTACTCCGTTCCCCCTTTTATATAATTTTTCATGGCATCTCCAAAAATCTCGAATTGTCTCAAAGACGACAGAACGTCTAGGATTCCAGAATCATCGCGTAAGGACTTCGCGAATGACAGCCAGTCTCGAAAACTATTGCGAATGGCAGGACAGAAATTAACCAGTCCGTAACAGTATCACGTGAATTTAGTTTCAAAAGTACAACCCTATTATAGTAAATGTTTTCTCAGTATTCTGAGAAATACCGTGAGGAAAAAAAAGTAGGCATAATGCAAATTAAAATATATAGTCTTGAAAAATAGCCCACATAATTTCTACTAAAATTTTTATTTTTTCCATTTTGTCTGAGCTCAAGGAGGGTGTTTAGACCCCTAAACCCCTCCCTTGCGTACGCCACTGCTATCCTGATTTATAATATAATTTATTACCTATGTATTGTAATAAAATTCTTAACCTGTTATATTATTAGAAAATTGATTCTTTTTTGTTTTAATTTTCTTGCAAACTTTTCCTGTATTTTTTTAGAAAAACCCACCATTGCCACCACGAGAACACAGAGTCCCTTTATCTGTTATAGATCTAAGATCATCTGCAGCTACAGGAGATGCTCATTCAACATGGTATGCTGGTTTCCATGGTAGCAGCATAATAGATGCTCATCCTACTAAAAGAAAAACTGCCCGTAAGAAACTTAATAACTCAGCTCAGTCCTCAACTGTACAAACTGCTGCCTCTGTGACTGAAGCATTAAATAATGTTAAAGATATGCTACGTCATACAGATATGTATAACTCTACTTTGACCAAAATCATTGAGGTATTTCCTTAATTAATCTGTGTTGTGTTAAATGAAACTTTAAACATTGTATAATTATTTTATTGATTTGCTATTTTTAGAGCCTACCTCATACTGGTCATGGTCCAAAATGCTGTGATAATGTAAGTAATAATTAGCATACATTTGAGTTCAGTGAATGAAAGTTCTAAATGCATAGCTGCCAACTCTACCAGTAGACTACTGGATTTTGCCAGTTTCTCCTGGTCTACTGGTTTAATAAAAAATTCTCCTGGCTTTTGCATACTTTGGAAAATATCCTAAAACTGAGTAAACTTCTTTAAAAAAAATCCTTATTGAAATAGAATTTTTGCACAATTTATTGCTTGCTTGAATATTTAAATAAATATTACTAATACATAATGAAGCAAGCATCATTTATAATAATCAGTTTAAAGCTTATTTATTTTTTTGGTTCTCAAATTTCTAGTTTATTTTTATTCAGAATTCTCTTTTTAAACTAATTTTAAAAAAGTCTTTCAACTATCACTAATAAATTACTTATTTATTAGTATTCAAAATTATGAGTTAACATAAAAAACATTTGAAATTTAAGTACATTTAATGTCAATCATAAATGGAAAATATTGCAGACTATTTGTAGTGTTTACTGTAATAAAATATTTGTATTTTGACTACAATAAAAATCCCTAAAATTCCCTATCTGTATAATATTTAGTATATTATGCAACAATTATCAGGAAATTTGTATTTCGTAAAATCTACTGGATTTTTTTGAGTACATGTTGGGAGCTACGCAAATGAATTTGTATAAATTAACTTAATGTTTCATGGAAGGAAATAAAGATTATTCCTCGCCTTTCTTTGTCTACAAGCTTCCAATTGATGAAATTTAAAAGTCCTTTACACTCAATCAAACTATTTGCATAGTAGCGTTAATATTCTTGGCATTTTAAAACCATGCCACAAGACAGAATCTCTACAGTTACTTGTTGACTATTTGCTGTCAAATGCACTTTGAACCTTTCATATTCCGAAAGCACTTAAGGCAATTTTAGTAATCTCGTCTACTGAGATCTGTGAATGAGATCATTAGTGTTGTATATTTTTATGAGACTAAATTGCTTAAAATCAAAGTGTCATGAAATCATATTTCGTGATGAAAATCAGAAACTTAAAGCATGATTTTGATTATTTGAATTTTTGAAAAAAATCATTGAACCATTGATTTAAATTATTAAAATAAAACTTTAACGATTAAGTTAATTGTCACCTTTTTAAAAACATTATTTGAAAAGTGAGATTTGAAAACAAAAAGGAATTTTTCTAAAATGATGGAAATCATTTAAAATTTTATTAAACAAGATTACATGAAATTTTCGTTTATAATTATTATTATTATATAAACAAAAATGAAAACTGTAATCTTTTTAAAACAGTGATAAACATGCATGTGATTGGTAATGGATATCTTTTTTGTTTCCAAGTCCTTTTTACTTATTCCGTTTTAAATGGCACTATTACTTTTATTAAAATAAAATTTAGAAAAAATTTTCTTGGGCATATTAACTCCATTAATATTTTTATTAATTTCGTTTAGTTTGATCTTATTCTATTTCAAACACAATAAAATTTTCATAAAATAACATGCATAATTTAATAAAAAATGTATTAAATTTGTGTAGTCAATTTATGGTACAGTAGGGAACCGATTATCCGGAACGATCGGGACCATCGCTATTCCGGATAACTGATTTTTCCGATTTTCTGAATCGCTACAAAAAGCCGTTTTTTTTATTGTTAAACCCAACTAAAAAAAAAATATTTGGATATAATCTTAAAAAAAAGAAAAAACGATGAAGTAATACACTAATAATTATTTCCAAAATGATGGTAAGGTAAAAATCTTTCAAAAAAGAAAGAAAAATCCTAAAATCTTAGAGGGAAAAAAAAAATTTCAAAAAATGACGGGAGAATTAGTTGAATTTCGTTCCGGTTTTCTGATTTCTGGATAACGGGTTCTGTACTGTACCACAATTTCTTTGCAATGCAAGTCATACTAAAATTTTTTACAATTTCTGGCGAGCTATGTGATAGCTTAGTGAACTGTGCTGAGCTGTGAGGGGGGATTGAAGCCTAACCAGCTTCATATTGATGGGTACTAGCCTGTTTGGAAGTAAAAGCAGCTTGTTTGTAATACTGACCAAATAGCCACAATCATGCTGTTGGTTACAAAGTTGTAGAGATTTAACCTCCATATATTTCCGTGGCTGGTTGTTGAGGAAATGCTTTACTTTTATAGAATTTCTGTGTCTTTAAAGTAGTTTTGAGCACTGTATATGAGCTTGTGAATATTATTTTTAAAAGTTACACAATGCTAAATTTTTAGTTAAAATTAATGCCATTTTCTATTAACTATATTTATGAAGCATTTCAGTACTTTTGTTTATTGTAATCTATTGCAGTAAATTATTTGTCTCTACATTTTATCTACTATTTGTGATATGAATTTAAATTAACTCCCCCTTTTCCTCTCCTCCTCTTCTCAGTTGTATAGGAATGTACCATGATATTTTCCCTTTTCTTAATATTATTCATATTTAATTGACACAAATATTGTTTAAAATTTCAACAATGCTTTCTTTTGCAACTATGTTCAAGGCAGTTTTCGGTTCCATATAGTTTACTAACTTAAAGGTTTTTAATCTGTTAGAAAATCCAGAGAGAAACTGACATACTTCCTTCTCTTATGACTCTCCACACGCTAATGGTGAAAGGATGTGAAGTGTTGCCATAGGTAGAGAGTTCTGCCTTGCACCATTTATATCCTATTTCAATAGCCAATATTAGTAAATACAAGCTTTAAAGCAATATTTTATATAAATTTACTGTTTCTCTTTTTAATTTAGAACTTGTTACTGCTCAAGGCAACATCTTCTGCCACATTGCATACATTACAACAATGTTATGCTATTCTTCAAAACCAGCAAGCAAGTATATTTTTACTACATAATTATTATATATGAAATCTCATTCGTATTTGAAATATTTTTTTTTTATGTGTAGAAACTTATTTTTAAATAGAACTCGATATTTCTGATAAAAAAGGAGTAGTTGCTGCATTTTAATAATTCTTTCCATAATCCATCCATCCATCCATCAACAAATATCATTGAATGATTATTTTAAAGAATCTAATATCTAACATTAGGTTCTTCAATCTTGTATTGCTAATTTATTTGCTAACTCTGTCTATGAATTCTTATGTTAATATAGTGAAGTCTTGGATATCCAGTGTATTGGTATGACAACTTGCTATAAATGGGTAAAACCCAAAAATAACCAAAAAATAATAAATATAAAAAAATAAAATAATGCTATATGGCTGTCGAATATTTGGTATTTGACCCTTTTTTTTGGCTGAATATTCAGAATTTCGGCCAAATCACTATTCGTTACATCCCTACTAAGTATATTTAAAGTAAGCTTGTTAACACATTTTTATGTTAGTTTAAGTTATTCAACACTCTCTGGCCAAATTTTTGTGAGTATTTCATTGCTATATAAGATTATCTCTGTAATTAATATCACAGGAAAATTGGTTTTCTTCACAAAAAATAATGCTGATCAAAATACTATTTTCAGTGCCTGTAACCATAATGGAGTTAAAAATTGAAAAAATAAATAAATAACAATTGTTGTATTAATTTTAAAAAATTTGTGAAGTAAAACTTGTTTTATTTATTTTTATAAAAATTTGTCTACTTAATTATTTTTTTATTTATTTTGATAAAGAAATAGGTATACTTATTTTTAAAAATATTGATAAATTTATTTTTGTCTACTATTGCAAATATTTCTTTTCCTATTATGTACTTAGAAATCATCTTTATTTGAACCAAGCTTGTAATAATTTTTTTTTCTTTTTTCAAGGTTTCTGTAAATTTTCCAAGAGCAACTGTTGAACATTTTCCTATTCCATTTGATAGAATAAGCTTAAATAGGAGTTTATCTGAAAGGAGGTAACACTGATTTTAGGACTTATTATAAAAATTATATTATCATATTAATAAATGTTTAATTTCATAGTCTGAATATGTCAGTGGATTTCAGTTATAAAAGTTCAAATCTCAGTATGACAAATTGTTGCTATGATTTGTACAAATTATTTTAGATGGAAGACTCTTAAAAATAACATATTAAAAAACTTAAATAAAATCTGAGTATTAAAATAAGAATTATGGATTAACTGCTGTGATGTTTAAAATTTTGTCTAAAAATTATTTAAAAAAAAGAAAAACCAATACTTATATTTTAAAAAAAATAAAAGTTACTGTTTAGTTTGCGTAAGCTTTATTTGAGTTCTTAAAAGTTTGGTTGCTTTTAATTGTTTGCAATCTATTTTTTTTTTCATAAAATTATTTATTTGCTTTTTGGAATTGTGAATTTTACAATAGTGTTTGTAATTTTGTATTGCAGAATCTATTTTCTCATATATTATTAAGAATATTCAGACTGTCCTATTTTCACAATAATGATAATAAAATAATATTATTTTTTACTCAATTTATAAATTATGTTTTTATTTATTTAAAATTGTAGTTTATTAATTCCCCTTTACTGAAAATTGTAGTTTATTTCATGTTTTATAAACTGCAAGAGATGTGAATTTTCATATCATTATCATAAAAATATCAATCTGAAATAGATTCATATAAGTTGTGACAATATTTTTAATTTGAACAAAATGACTCTTATTAGATTTTATTTCATTTAGTACAACTTCTCAAAGGTCAAGAGAGCCATCTGTAAATATTGGTAAGTTATTTTGTATTCACATTATAATCCTATGTCACATCATAATCACAATAACACTTACTACTAAACATTAATTTTTAAACTTACACTTTACAGTATTTTAAATTTTGGTATTGATTATTCTTTTTATAGGTCACAAATAAATATGCTAACTAAATCAACCCTAAGATTCCATTTATATTAATTATCAAGCATCTTAGGGTTTTCTAATTCTTTCGTTGAATCATCCATTAATTTTTCATTTAACTGAATAAAGTAAATTACCTTTAAAAATCGGTGCCTGATTTAGAAACATAGGGGACTGTAAAAATAGAACGCTCGGGAGCCCTCTTGTCAAAATTTACACATTGTTTACATACAAAATGCTTTTTAACTATTCAAAACATAAGGAAATTATAATATGTCAATAAATTTGAGGTTATATTTATTTCAATTTTTGTTAACTCGCCGTTCTAATAAGCAATTCTAGGAAGAGTACTATTTTAACATTTATGGGGTCTTTGAAATTGTGGGGGACTTATAGCTGGTGCTCTCCGGTCTTATAATCCGACTCTTTAACATTAACAAAGTGGAAATAATTTTATAAAAGTGAACAGAATATATTAATAAAAAATATATATTGTTCTCACAAAAATTACTTAAAACAGTTTGAAACAAAATAGTAACTTCACAAAAAAAAATCTCTGCACTTAATTACCAAAACAATAACTGTAATTGAAAGTCTAGAGGTAATATAATGTTAATTATTTTTTCTTTCCTTTTTTCCAAATTGTTCTGGAAAATATTTTGAACGTTTTTCTTTGCCTCATTGAATCATTTTTTTGATAAGCAAACATTTATAATTTCTTCCTTTTATACTTTTTACCATTTGTTGCAGAACACACTCAAACTTTTAATCTGGCTGCTACTGTATGTAGAATTTTAAATGACTTTTTCTTTGAATTAAAAACTATAAAATTACAATTCTCATTTAATTTTAAAAATTGTTTTGAATTCCATGAAACTTATTTTGCAACAATAATTCATGATACTAAAAGTTAAATATTTACTACCTATAGATCCTAGTGGAGAAGTATCTGACAACGATGAAACAGAGGAGAAAGATGTGTCTGTTGAAGGTGATAGGCATTCTATTATAATGAATCTGATGTCCCAGTGGAAGCTTGGTACAGATTTAACTAGGGTTAGGATACTGTTATTGATATAAAAACGCTTTTTATGTATGCAAAGCACCTGAGCTAGATATAGTTATCATTTGATGAATACTGAATCACTGTTGTAATTTATCAATATCCATTTATCTCTATTGTAGATTGTAACTGCTTAAAGTTTATTTGTTACATAGCTTGCGCTTCGATTGATTACCAGAAGTTTGTTTAGGATGCAATGGCAAAGTCTGTACTAAAAAATTTGTTTTTCATCATCCACTCCAAAACCACGTTTTCTGTAACTATCTTAATATGTCCTAAACAATTTAGTCTCACATATTAGTTAAAGTATTGTTAAATGTGGATCCCTTTCTTTTTAATACATTTAATCAAAAACTAATTCAATTAAAAGCTAGCTTTTTCAGTTAGCTTTTTCTAACCTTAAAATGTCCAAATTTTGAATAAGGTTAGGAGGATCTCTCCCTTTTGATTGGAATACATATTTAACTTATTCTTGTTTGGAGATTATCTTTTAAGGAGGTGAGATTATTTTTTTAATTGTGATTCTACGGATTTCTTGAGTTAGGGGAGTAATAGAATAAAAAAAATCTCTGCATCTGTTTTTTTTTTTATTTTTTTTTTTTTTAATATTTTTAGAAAATAGTTAATTTTACTTGAATTCAAATTAGTTGAATTATAGGCATATTGTGTAAATTTATGATTTTTATTTAATTTTGTACCTAATCTTGTAACTCGCCCACTAATTAAATATGGTTCAGAAAGCTGCATAACAATATCCTAAGGGCTATATTACCTTTTTCACTTGGCTCACCAACCCCAATGATTCCTCTGCAATCATTTTATTGAGTATAAACAGTTTATTGCATCAAAACTAAAAATTATTCAATTAAAAGTTTTAAAAAAAAAATTTTATTATATTAACGCAGATTTGAATTTTTAGATTAAGCTCCCGATTCTATTGAGATTTATACTAAGTTTTATTAGAAATAATGTAATGATCTATAAGATTATACTCAATGCTAAGTTTTTATATATTATTTTTCTTAAATCCTTATATATCCTCAATCACTGATTGTCAAACTTTGTTGTTATACTTAACTTTCTTTTCCTTTTTTTAGGTTGCTCTTCCATCATTTGTATTAGAGCCCAGATCACTTTTAGAATTTTTTGCAGATTTCTTTCGGCATCCAGAACTCTTAGTTAAGTAAGTTTGTCTTTCTTTATCTTGATTTTTATATTTAGGTCAGATGAATTTAGGTACAATTTTGAGGATTTTTGCTCAATTTTTAGAATATCAGAAGCATTAACGCCTGCCTCCAGAATGCTATGTGTTGTTCAATGGTATTTGACATCATTTCATGCCTGTAGAGAGGTAATCTAATATTTAACTGCTATTAAATTTATAGCTAGAGACAAATTTTCTCTACATACTTGCTTTGTATACTCAGCAATATAAATTTATGTAATAAGTATACAATAGTTGAAATTACTTTTTTTATTTCAAAACATGTTATTTACTGTATAATATTAATTATAAAAAACGTGAATATATCATTTTACTTTATTGAAACTTCTTGTTTAAGCAATAATCCTATTATTTAGGCGATTATTTTTATCTCTATGAATTTTTATTTATAATTTTAAAAAACAAAACTATATTTTATTTTGTTACACTATTTATCTATTTTATTTTTCCTACATGCTTGTTTTATTGTAAAATATTATTTTTATTTATTTATTATGATAAAAAAAATTTAAAATCATAATTAGTTATCCTAATTATATTTCTAAGTAAAGAATAACACAACTTTTGACAAGATTTTAGCTTGATTTTTTTTTGTTTTGATAGCTTTTTTTAAGCAATTTTAATACTACTTTTCAATAAATTTGATTGGTTCATTATTTTATATTATATATTATTATATATTTTTGTATAAAGAATCACATATTTTTTGCGAAGATTTATGCTCACCATTAAAAAACATTCTTTAAGCCTTTCTTACTTTTGGAAATTTAGATCAATAAAATAATCAATAATTTTATTGTCAATTCTTTCAGACTACAACTATTATCAATTAACTAATTATGATTTAAAAAATTTCAATTCATAATTAGTTAACCTAAGCATATTTCTAAGTAAGGAATAACACAACTTTGGCCAAGATTTTAGCTTGACTTTTTTGTGTTTCGATTGCTTTATCAAATATTTTAATGCTACTTTTCAATATATTTAATTGGTTCTTTATTTTATATTATATCTTTTATCTATTTTATGCTTGTTTTATTATAAAATTTTGTTTTGATTATTATTATAAAGATTTTTTTAATGTCAATAATTTGAGCTGAGAATTTTTCCGATTAAGAAATCACATATTTTTTACAAACATTTGTATTCAACATTAAACGGTATTTTTTTTTGAAGATTAATAAAATAATTTTTATTTCCAATGCTTTCAGGCTACAGCTACTAAAAAACCATATAATCCAATACTTGGCGAAGTGTTTCGCTGTTCATGGAATTTACATGAAAACAGTGACAGTACTGTAGAAGATAGTCTTGAAAAACTGTACAAAGTTACATATGTTGCTGAGCAGGTCTCTCATCATCCACCTGGTATGCATTATTGTTAGATAATACATACGCCTATGATACATTACATTTTATGAAAACCTAATTACTATGATTGAATACCCATAAATATTTATGTTTAAAAATTAGTAAATGCAATCCTTGTTGCAAATATATATGTATTTCAGTCATAAGATAATATATTGAATTCTTTTTTAGTTTCTGCCTTTTATGTAGAATGTGAAAAGAAGAAAATTGCTTTAAGCTCATCTATTAGTTTAAAATCTAATTTTTTAACTTCATGTGTTGCAGTTAACTTCATAGGAGAAGGTATTTATTGCACCCTATTTTCATTGTGCTTCTTATCTTTGTTCTCTTTTGTTTACGAAAATAGTAATACGCTTTTTATTTTAGTTTCTCTTCATCTTTTAACATATGGAGAAACATATGTTTTCACATTTCCTAGTGCCTACTTACGCTGTATGCTTACAGTGCCTTGGATAGAGTTAGGAGGGCGAATATCTGTATCTTGTGCTGCTACAGATTATAATGCATCAATTACTTTTCAAATGAAGGTAAAAATACTATCTAGCTTAACTGTGGATAAATTTGGTGAACCAATTTTTTACTCTTCATATATATCACCAATTACTTTTACCTTATCTCTTTTGATATTTGTGTTGTTGTTTTAATATTTTTGCCCTATCGACCACAGCGCTGACATAAAATATCCTCGGTGGTATTGTTGATCCTCAGTGATCATGGGTTAGAACATTCAAAAAGTCTTCCACGAAGGCTAGTTTGTCACAATGTTTGATCCGAGTGTTCCCTTTTCTTCTGAGTTGGGAATTACAAAACCGATCCAATTTGTAAACTCAGAATTGGGTTGGTTGTTCAACACAAAGTGTAAAATTAAATATTTTTCCTCTAGAAAAATTTGAGATCTAAAAATTTAAGTTCACTGTGCAGAATTGCATTCTGTGTAAATAAAAAAAAAATCTGATTAATAATTTTGTTATTTAGCCATACATCCCCTGACTTTTTATTTAAAATTTCTGCATTTTTAATGTTTATAGCTTGAAAATTATGAATCCATTATCTTTCTACAAAAGTTATGCACCTTCTTATACCCTTTAATGTTATAAGTAATTTCCCCAACAAATAAATTTTAATTATTTGAATTTGAAAATAAAATAAAATGTAGATTTTTTTTAGGTCTAAAGATGTGAAGAGAAAATGAAAATAAATATGTGTACGCAAAACTGTGTCTTATAGAGTTAAAAGGTTTGATTGTTTTTATAGGGTTAAATATTTAATGAATAAAAGAATGATATTTATTTATTTTACAGACCATTTGAATTTCATTACATATCTTACAAATTTTTATTGAAACGTATGTCTGTTTTACTCAATTGCATAGGTGATTACTGTTGTTAAATATTCATATGTTATGATAAATGTTTACGATAAATGTTTTTGAATTTCTGACCTCCAAAATATAGAGGGGGCGGCATTGCAATCTGAAAAATAAAGTCCCGATAGTTCAATTTTTTTTCGACATCTATTAAGTAAAATAATAAATAATGGTTATTTTTTGCATGAAATTATCTTTAAAAAAATTAATTTTATAATTATGTGCAAAAAAAATTTTAAATTCTATTAAAGCGTTCTTGAGACATAATGAAGTACGTAAAAAGTAAAATTAACAGTAAGAGGTCCAAACTTTGGAGCACCCTCCTGACCAAACTATTGGGATCAGGATTTCCAGATTAGGGCTACCCCCTATATTTGGATGGTTAGAAATCGGAATCTTCGAAAAAAATGGTGTGCTTATTCAAAGAAAGTACATTTTCGTGTCTGATTTTGTAACTTAAAATATCTTCTGCCCTTATTAATTAGCATATTTGAGGCCACAGCCTCGAACCATTAGTTTTGAGTTCTAGAATGTGAAGATCCGATCATTAGATCAAAAGTTATTCAGGGTGGTTCTTTTTTTGCGCACTGTACATACATTTTTCTACCCTTTCTATAATTGGTTTATACAAGAAAAAAAATTTATAATTCTTTATCAATTTTTTTTAATATTTATAGTTTTTGTTCAACACTTATACATTTTACTGCTCTTATCAGTTATCTAAGTATTAAACAAGCTTGTCATTTCAGCCTCAACAATCAGGTATTCCTCATAAAGTTACTGGTGAAATAAAACAAGCAGAAGAGCTTGTTTACAGAATATCTGGTGAATGGAACAATATTTTAAACTTTACTTCAGTTGATGTAAGATCATTATTTTGTTATAAGAATTTTCCTTCATAAATGTTTTATTCAAGTATGATTTAGTATTTTTGTTTATATTGAAAATGAAATTTGTTTTTACTTTACAAATGTTAGAATGTATCTGAAACTCTGGATGTTCAAGATCTAAAAAGATGCCACAAGCATGTGCGACCACTTGATCAACAAGATACATTTGAATCTAGGAGATTATGGCAAAATGTAACCAAGGCCATTCTAGAAGAAAATTTTGAAATTGCCACGACTGAGAAATTGAAGGTAATTTCATTATAGTATTCTTATTAAAAAGTGGTACTGTATGTAAAATTCCACATGACTGTATTCTTAGTTGTTTACATTAATACTTTTGATAATTACAGCATTTTGATAAATAACAAGTTTTTACTTAGATTAATTGTTCTGTCGTAACTTTCTGTTTCAATGAAAACCTTTTAAACTGCATTCTTGCAAAGTTTTGACTGTCACAAGTGTATAACAGGGATGAAAGACTTCTGAGAAAAAGTTTTCTCCTGATTTTTAAAATTTCCGACAATGTTCCAAAAGCGTAATTTTTTGAGGGTACCAATATGAGGAAAAAGCCACCCGAATGGTAGCTGTACTTGAAACGACCCTTTTTGCCTGCGGTAGCGTCTAGAGGAAGAAATATTGTCAGGAGAAAATGGGTGGAGCTTGAGCAGGTGCACCGTTGACTTGACAACCATGACTTCCATTGTAGAACAAAAAGTTTGAGGTTCTTGGTTGTTGAGTTCTAAGCAGTTTTGTTTCGGCTGCCAATATTTAACCCAGGGTTTTTCCTCCTGGGTGCGACGCATATTGAATTTTCACATCCGTCCATTATAGTTCTCCCGCCTCCGCTAGTTCTTATTTTGGGCCTTTGCTGTGTTTGTCTGTGCACACATTTGTTTTTCGTTTACTTGTATTCTTTTCACGTGATGCATCTTAAGATGAATGTATTTTAATGCTGGTTGATAGACAAACACAAAGTGGGTACGATCAATGCTGCTGAAAAAAATTAATTCAAGTTTGGTTAAATTAAACAGTCAAAGTGACTAAAATTGTTAGTAGCTATTTATCAGAAGATATTGAGGTGAAAGTTGATGACTGTTTTAATTTAAAATGATGATTATTAATCCTCATATATTGCTTAATTTTCTTTAATGTAGTAGTGGTCAAAGACATTTAAAATTATATTTTTGAAAATTTCACAGCAGCGAAGTTATGTTTTTATATGTCTTATTGATATCACAGCATTACATACATCCCTACCTCCCAATTTCTATGTTGTAAAAGTTCAGCTTTTTTTTCTTGCTTTTTTTGTCCACTTTCATGCCTGGTATTATTTAACTCAAGAAATTATATTATTTTATTTATTTATTTATTTATTTTTTTGACTGAAGCCATACAGATTTTCTTATTGTGTTGTGTGACTGAAGAATTTTGCATTTCAAGATTTTTTCTCCTGAGTAAATAAAGCAGGAACCTAAATATATCTTATGATATTTTGTTTTTGTAATATCTCTATTATATTATATCTCTATTCAAAAAATCAATGAAAAGATCGATTATCTTAACTGTACCCAGAAATTTAAAATCGATCTACATTCAGAAATTCTAGCCAAAAAATTTATTAAAAAAGAAAATAAATTATTCGGGAATAAGAAAAAATTAGACCAAACAATTATGTTTGAAAAATTTTATGTATAGACATCCACATCACTCAACTATGGCCAAGCACCATGTTTAGGGCTCTATCTTTTAATGGCCAAGATAGGAATGCCACATAATGTTGACCCTGGTCACATGACATGGACACCGCCAGAGCTGGCACCCCTCTCTCTGAACTTCCACACCACAACCAATCAGAGGATTCTCAGCCACAACAGATTTAACATGCACCTTGCTACATATACTCGTCGATTTTTTTGTCGTCTGGCATTATTGAACTTACTAACCAAACTTTCCAACCAACAATGAGAGCAACACTTTAACCAACTTGTGCCATCAGAGCCCTTATTATGTACAAGCACTGGAATCACAGTAATTTTGGTCATTTATGTCATTATTTACATGAGACTTAAAATCATTATTTTTATACCATAAATTGATAAGAAACGTGCTATAGCTGTAATAACAAAATGTATTTTGAGTCCAGTTACTCAAAAATTTCACATTTTACGGATATTTAACTTAGCATTAAAGTTGAAATATTACTATCCCTAAACTTTTATTTTTAAATGACATTTATCAATAATTATGAGGTTTCTGAATTGTATTTATGAAGTTTCAACAACAAAATTCACCCTTCCAATGGAGGATGTATTAAGTTAAGTTATTAAAGTTAACACTGCTAATTTCAAACAAAATTAGCACATTTGAAGCATTTACAGCACATGTTTCATATCATATGTACTCTGTTATTCTTTTTTATTTTTTGTTTATGCTATTTTAATGATTAGCATAAAATTTCTTCGTTTGTGTAGCTAAAAAATAGCATTTTAATTACAATAATTAAATTCAAAGCTAAAATATAAATTAGCTGCAGTTGGTAGAAAAATGCATTTTTCTTGAATATATTATATTTCGTATTTGTAAATATTGTTTACTGGTTTCAGATTTATGGAAAATGAATGAAGTTACACATATGTAATTTTTTCTGAACGTGAAATATTTTATAATGATGAATTATTAAATTTATATTCCTTTATTAAAATTAATGATTTAAAAATGTATTTTTTGGAATATGATGAAGTTACATGTTAATAATAGAAAGAAAAAAAGTGTGAATTGTCTATTTAAGTAAATTTTTAACATTTAAATATTTATCCATGTTTTGAATCATTATTAAACTTTATTTTTTTTAAAAATATCTATCCTATATTTAATTAAATTGTGAATAAATAATTTAGATCTGTTTTAAAATAATTTGTCTCACAAATAAACATATGTCAAAGGTTTAAAAGGTAGATATACAAAACTATTTATTTTCATATTATTTGCTATAAAAATTTCAAACTATTTTATTTTCCTAGCTTGAGGAACTACAAAGAGAAGAAGAAAGAAATTTTTTATCCTCTGACACTGAGTATAGTGGGAAGGTAAACTACTTCATTTTATTTTTCAAATAATTGATATTGTGACTTAAATTTGTAAACTATGATTCTTTAAAACTACTCTTGTTAAAACACAATTTTTTTCATCGTATGATATTTTATCAGTTTTAAAGGTAATCAATGTTTAAAATTAGGATCTATCAATATACTATATAACTGATTATAATTCAAACTCAACTATTTAGATTCTTAAGGTTATGGTCTTTGATACCAATTACCATAAAAAATTGAACTGCAAAAATAATTGATAAATTATGAAGTTTATTTGTTTAAATTATCATAAAAATGTAAACTATCCTGAAAAAAAATGATATGTTTAAATCATTTTAGCATTAATTATGATTTTAAAAAAATTTACATTTAAATTTTTATTCTTTCAAATTTAAATTTTTATTATTTCAAATTTAAATTTTTATTATTCCAAATTTAAATTTTTAATATTTATTATTTCAAATTTAAATTTTTATTATTTATTATTTCAAATTTAAATTTTTATTCTTTTTAATATTATTACGAAGAATACTATACTATAACCTCCAAGATCCTATTTACGGTTCATTAAAATGATTGTTTCTTGGCTAACATTGAATTTTAATTTGTCAGAAACAGACTTAACATTAATTTAAATAGACTTTATTATGAATATTGATTTTAAAAAAAATGTAAATACAGTCAAACACCGCTATAGTGAACACGGTTTATAGTGAACTCCCGGATATAGTGAACGGAATGTTCGCTCCCGTGCCTTGCTATACACGGATAATGTTATTTTTTGTGGATATAGTGAACCAAAAAAGTGAGGAAGTTGGATATAATGAACTTTTTTCTGTCTTCGACTGATTTTTAAAAAAAATTTTAATAATTTTGAACTTTCTACTTCAAAATAAATACATATACCGATTTTCAAAGCCATCTGTAGAGGAGAATGTAGCGATAAGCATTTCTTCTTGTTTGCTTCTTTTATCTCACTTTCTCATACTTAAACAAACCAAGCAGATGTTTCCAACCCAGGCAGCCGATACACCTGTAAGGTGTCAGTGGGATCAATATGCATTTTCTGTCAGAGGGAATGAGTAATTATTCATTATTGGTCAAAGGGTTGGACACTAATATGTGTTGATAAGGACCTCATTTCAACTCCTTTTTGCTCTCAGTTCAGTTAAAAAAAATTTTGCAAACAAGTCAATCAAATTTAACTATGGCGAGCAGTAAGCGTAAAACGTTCTCCATTGATGATAAAATGGGCATAATCAGAAAAATTGAAAATGGATGCAATCAAGCTGATATTTGCAGAAAACTATCCATATCTGCAGTTTGTAACATATGGAAAAATAGGCAATTAATAATTTCTACTCACGAAGAAAATTTAGATGGCAGAAAAAAGTTGTGAAAAGCAGATCACAAGGATGTTGAATAAGCATTATTGAAGGTTCACCAATCGAAGAAGCCGCAATCTTCCTGTATCTGCACAAATGTCGATGAATTTGCTAAGCGATATAGTGGGGTTTGACTGTATTAAGTTAAAACTATCATTGAAAAATATAAATTAGTTAGATAAAGCTGATTTATTTTTTCCTTTCATCATTTTAAAATGCAGTATACTCCCGATGCCTCAAACTTTGATATCTTGAAATTTTTCGTAAAAATCACTATGTAAAATTATTTTTAGCTAATTATTTTTTGTTTAATGTTTTTGTTTAGTTATTTTTGTCGTACTTTTAAAAATAAAATTATCATTTTTGTATTTAGACTTATAGTCAAGTATGATTGCATACATATTTAATAGTAGTTATTCTTATGTTTCATGACTCTACTTTCTAGAGTAATATTTTAGAATATATTTTTTCTACTTTTTAGAACATATTTAGTTCTAAACTTGTTAGTTCGAAAACTCGCTATCTCGACATTTTTTTAGCGTCCCTTCAAATTTGAAATATCGAGAATATGCTGTATAAAAATTTTTTATATGTTTTAACATTATAAATTTTTTACTCTGGTTCCATCTACAGTCAAACCTCTGTTTAACAAAGTTGCTAAATTCGGATAATAAGTTCGTTATATGGAAAATTCGTTAAATAGAAAATCGCCCTTTAAAATGCTTAAACAACGCAAAACAGGTTTTGAATTTCCAAAACGTTCTTGTTTCCTCAAAAAAATTCGCAAAATGGAAGTTCGTTAAATAGAAGTCCGACTGTATATTGTTATTTTGTTCTGCTTTTAAAATGTTCATGATCATTTCAGTTATTCCATAAAGAAAATGAGACATGGAAATACAAGTATCCCTTATCTTAGCCTTATTTGTTCATTATACAAAGAAAAAAAAACTCTTCTGAGCCTGAAAAGGAGCTTATTCCACTCTCTAGTCCTTCTGCTAAAGTAACAGGTTGGATACTATAATTCAAACATGATTTTGAACCCCTTCTTTGATATTATGCTCACATTCATTGTTGTTGACAGTCTTATTATCATTAATGTATGAAATTATTTTGTTTCATCATTACCGAGTTTTACACCTCATTTATTGTTTTTATATTTTATACCACTGAACTATACTACTTGCTAATCACATTTAGAGCTGATAAAATTTTCAGATATTTTTTTCTCATTGTTTTTTGTGCTTAATAAACTTTAGATGATGTAGTAATATTCAGAAGCGCAATATCTTTTAAAAAGATGGAAAATAAAAATAAAAGGGTCATTTTATCAGATTAAGAGCTTGATAATTTTTACCAGCTTCTATGAAATTTTTTTTCCAACCTCTAAAGCAATAAAAACCTGTGATTTCTGGTTTTGAATTAGTCATTTAAAACTGCCCATTTGTCAGATTTTTGATTTTTTTAAGATTTAGTTTTGCAATTTAAACTGATGAAAACTGATTTGGATAATTCTTCCAATGTAATTTGCACAAAAACAAGGATATTTATCAAAAATTTATAGCCAGGCGAATGTATACTCTTTAACTACCTTTCAAAAAAACTGTATTGGTATAATTTTGTCAGAAAAAATAAACAGAAAATCTAAATTTCTGCACACTTTATATCTCAAGTTGATTCGGTGGCGACTTTGCATTTTTCATGCATCAAAAGGTGCTTCCGAATAAAGTAAATATCCACTATCAGTTTATTTGTGAGAAATAACTAAAATGGGTTATAAGCATATTTATAATTTTAGCTGCTCGCGTTTACCCCTTTGACAATTGAATTCAGTCAAGGAGAGAAAACCCAGCTAGCTAACTTCATCTAACATGGCTCCCACGGGTAAGAGAGAACAGGAAAAACCTAGAATTGTCAAAAAAGTTCATTTTTAACTCTAAAAAGCAGGGGAAGTTGAAATTTTTTGCAAAAAGACCTGAAAAAATCTTATTACCTACCAAAAAATAACCAGTCTTAAAATTGTCAGTTACAGTAATCAGTTATTGAGATTCGAGTTAAATTATTCTAGCATCCATTACAATTATTTGTTGTAAAAATTCCACATTATAGTGAAACTTTTTCATGTTTTCATCCTCATTCAACATTTTTTTCTCACAAACTCTAATATTTGATATTATAAATAAAAGAAATCAAAGTTTCCTGATGAAAAGCTGTGTGATATAGATAAAATATGGTATGGATTTCCATTGAAATTTACTTGCATTGAATATTGTACCTAGAAAAGTCAGAGAATTTTTTTCTGAAATTGAGTGGGAACTCTGTCTGATCTTAAAAAACTTCCTCTTTGTTGCAGGCATGTTTTTGAGAACAAAATTAAAATGAATGCTCTAGTTTCTCTAATTTTACACATAAATACTAAGACATCACTGCTAAAAGGTCTTCAAAAAAGCTTAACTATTTTTGTTTAACTTTTTTTTAACTTACTTAGCTGAGAAATTCCATTACTATCCTATTTTCTTCTCGTAAGAATGAAAAGTTATGCTCTAATATGATTATCACTTAGTACAGTTCAGTTCTTAGTAACATTGTAATTGGCAGCTATGAAACAGTGAGCCATTTTGTAGCAATATTTTACTTAATCTAAGAATCATCTGCATAATCATTAAAATAAAAACAATGAGCATGTTATTTTTCTGCATTAAGTGGTTAAAAAGTTGCATGACTAAATTTAACAATGACATAAAAAAAAGCTTTTGAATTTAATTGAAGGAACTGTTGAATATAATTTAAACTGTGCCTTTTATTTTAATTGAAAAATTATAATTGAAGTATTTAAAGTGAATTAAAATTCTGTTAAAAGTACTTATTTAAATTATTTTCAATAGTGGCCTATGTTTTTTTTAAGCAATTTGAGTTGCTTCATTTGATAAAAACAACTATTTTATAAGAATAGAAAATTTTAAAGTGTAAGTGTAAATTACTTTTAAAAAAAACTTTTTTTTTTTTGGTTCAAATTTAAGAAAAAAATAATAAATCATTATTTCTCAAAAGACTTGATTTCACTTGTGCGGTAAGTAGAAAACCTACAAGAATGTATGTTTTTACATACGCTTTTGAATAATGAAGTTTGCTATAAAGTTTGAAACAAAGTGCATGAAATTTGATCAAAAATAATACATTTTGACTATAATATTAAATATTTTAGAACAATTATATTGCAAAGTGTCTGCGCATCACAATCTACATTCATGTTTAGACATTTGGTTTTAAAACAAGCTTCTTTTTTATAACTAACTATTTAAACCTCTTGACTATAAATAAACCAGTCACTCATAGAGGAGGGAGGGAGAAATTAAAATACCCAGTCTTAATAGCTCACACATTTAAAAAATATAATTTTCTTTCTTTCTTGTTTTTAATTTTTGTGAATTTAATTCAATGATGATTCATGCAAATTTTCTTTATTTGCCTGAAAAATTGTGAAGAGCATATAAAATCACTCTCATTCCACCGCCAACAATGCCCACACCTTCCTAAAAAAATCTCAAGAACTTTTTTTCTCTAAAGAACAAATTAAAATGCAATTGACACCTGTTGTTATAGTACAGCTCTAAAGTTTGGGAGATTTTCTACGTAAAGTTTTCTATATTTCACTATATGAGCAGTGTAATATAAATATTTAATGGATGTTAAAACAACATTGTGTCTGAAATAGCAAATTAAGACTTAATGTATCGGTCCTTATAAAGGTGGGATTGTTGTAATAGGCCATATGCTTAAAGACATAGACTGTATATATGTATATAAATAATTAAAGATTCTACAATGAAAAGTATATTGAATAAATACCGAATGAAAGATGCCAGCATAAAAATGCAAAGTCTAAGGGCGCCAAGCTGCATATGTATAACTAGAATTAAATTTAATTAGTCTTCTATTGTACATATATTTATATTTTGAAACAAAACACTTTATTCATCCAATGAAATTGAAGTTTCTACTACGTATGTATATTTTTTACCACTTAGTGCACAGTAAAAAAAAATTATTATTAAATTGTATTTAATTTATGAATTTAGAATTGCTTATTTTAAATAAATGTATTATAATTTTTATACAACATGAGATTTAGTTAACCAATGATTTTTTGTATAAAACTTGTAATTTTATGACTATTCAATCTTAGTGCAAAATAATTTGTTTATTTTTAGAAGCATTTTTTTTAATTCTATTGATAATTTTCATATCATTTTTTAAGAATTATTAATTATATGACTATTATGTATGACTGAAGTTGCTATTAAATCATTTTTATTTTTATAATTGCAATAAAAACTTTTATGTTTCTTAATATACTACTTTGCTTTCAATGAATTTGTAATTCAGCCATTATGTTACGTGTTCAATGTTCTAGGCTTAAATTTCGCCAAAATTTTTTATTGTGCTATTTCAACTTTGTTAAAACCTATATTTGCCTTTATCACTTACTAATTCAATACTACAGGTGAGCAAAATAAAATGGAAACTTCTTATTTAAACTTAGAACTATTAATTGTTATCTATGCTGTGTAAGCTAAGCTTACAATGTTCCTTGAATCTTATAAACTACTTCATTACTTATTTATTTTCTAGTCTGTTGCTTCTTTTATCTTTAAAACAATTAATAAACACATTTTGTGTTTCAATTGCAATGCTTTCTTTTTTGTGTTTAATTTAATCAAAGTATTTTGAAAAAAAGTAAAATTATGCATTTATAATAACTGCATAGCCAAATATGATGATTTTTAAAAAGATTTGGGGATTATTATTTAAAAGATTATTATATTATTATTTAATGATTATAGTTACTTTTTGTTAACATAATTTATTATGTGAACGTTAGATGAAAATAAGATTAATCCTATTTAAATGCTGTGATGGTCAATTATTTAATCTGTCCAAATATTTTCCTAAATTCTTGGTATCTTGTATATTCTCAGAATTATTTGTTGCGTTTTTATATTTATATTTGCAATATAGATTTTTGAATTATAATTCTGTGGCATGAAATTAATTATTCATTTGTTAAAGGCTATGAATGAAAACTATGACCACTATAAGTTAAAAATATAGAGAAAACGTGAAAAATAATGTAATAAAGATAAATGAAAAGAGAAGAAGAAAAATCATTAAAATAAAGTATTTTTTAAGAAAAAAATTTTTAAGAAAAAATATTATTAAAAAAAAGCCGTAGAACAAAAAAAATGAAAAGAATTAATCTCGTCATCAACACACAAGATTATATCTGCAAAAAGGATATATATATATATGTATAAAGTGCAAAACCATTTTTAAAATTAAATATCTGATGGTAATAAAATAAAATCAACGATGAAATAAATTGCAATAAATGTTTTTTAAAACGTTAAATTTTAAATGATTTTAATCTTTACACTTAAAAATTGTAAACAAATTTAGTTTTCAGATTTGTAAATGTAGAGATTATGGGAATTTTAAAGCTATTAGTTTAGTTTTTATTAATCATCTGTGCATTCAAAAACTCATAACTGTGATATTGTAAAGCTTTCTTAAATTATTAATCAATTCTGTGTTATGAATAGAATAAAAATATAGACTTTTATTTCGCATAATAAAAAGAAAACTATAGCAGCTAAAGTATAAATTAGCTTTTACTGTTTTATTAATATTTCTCCTTTTAAATAAACGCAACCACATTTTTTCTCCCAGGTAATTTTCAATTATGCTCTTCACTATTTAGGTGTATAATGTTAAGGAATTTTTCTCTTATGACTTGAGCTTTTGTTTTAGCTCTATTTAGTTCTATTTGATTGTTATGATTGTGAATGTCAAATTGTTATTTAACTTCCTTAATCTTTTAGTACATATTTGTGGGAATAGAAAATATTAAACGTTCAAAATTACTTTTGCTTGAATTGTTTTATTTTTATCTACAATCTCGCAATAAACTCACTTAGATATAATAACTGTTAATTTGCATAGATTTTTGTTCTAAAGTAAAGAACAAACTTTTTTTTTAAGTGAAATTGGAATTGGCATTCCCAAAAATATTAGATAGTAAAATTGTTATTTTTATTATTAATTGTTAATAAATATTAGCACCTGTAACTTAATTATGAGATTTCAATCTTTAATGTTCTTCTCTTATTTTCTGCTTTGGGGACTAGTTAATGACATGTAGGAAACATTTTTTTACAAGTTTGTTAAGCCAAACATAATCCTGTACAACAAGTATATCAAAATTAGTATTCATTTTTGTTTTCAATTTAATTTTTAAAAAATGTAAATATTTTTCAATTATATTAAAATTTGTTCTACATATAAAATTATTCTTTCTAAAGCCAAAATCAAAATAGTTAGAAAATTCCTAATTCCATTATTTAATATTATTTTAGATAAAATTTCAAATAAAGTGCAATATACTGATAAGCTGCATATTGAAATTATTCACCTGAGTGTTTTGGTTTAAAAAAAAAAAAAAACATGATTTCTGTGTAAGCAATAAGATTTTTCTGTGCATTTGCATTGTTATCTGGTAGAAATTCCGGGAACGTGTGAAGTATCTACATAATAGCAATACTAAGGAACAATTTGATGTAAATATGTAACCTCCGGAACAAATGTTGCTCATGGCTATATTGCTTTAAGCTCTTCAAGTTTAATGAGATTTTATTTATTTTACTTTAATTTATGTATTTGGTATAGTAACCTTCTATAGCAAAAAAGTTAGAAGGTTACTGTACCAAATATAGCATAGCTATATTTGGTATAGTAACCTCCTAACTTAACCTATAGTACCTTCTAACTTTCAATGAAAAAAAAATTTCATCTTTTAAAGCATAACTACAAATGCTTCACCTAATTAAAGAAACTAATTGAATTAATTTTGTGTAATAAAACTACTTACAGAAAATTTAATTGTGACGTAAATAAAACTATCATGTCTTTTCTATAAATAAATTACACTTGAAAGCCTAATAAACACCTGTGTTTATAAGTAATGTTCAGGTATTTTCTTTAAAATCTCAAACTTAAATAAAAGGTATCTTATAATTCTTAGTATAATTTGATTAAAAGCCCAACTCTGGATATTTTATTAATGATTAAACCCATACTATAATTAGACTGGTCTTATTTTGATTCTATATGCTTATTATTTTTTGTTCAAATTAAATGTGATTATTTTTGTATTACTACCCATTGTAATTTCAGTCTCAATCAATGCATGCTTATTTTTAATCACTGTCAATATTTTGAAATACTATCAATTTATCATTTGGTTTTGTAAATGGAGACACTTGCTCAATTCTGCAAATGTATTTGTAAAATAAAAATTTCCATTGTATATAGGCACAAGAAAAAAACTATTTCTATGCATACTTATTAAATTGAAATTTTTAATTTCTTTTTATATATACACAGTCCCTTTGTCTTTCTCTTTAACATTCTCTGTATGATTAGTAAAATGATCACTACATGTTGACTTATACAATGTACAGTATTTGTTTAAAACTATGTATAATGTACATTCAGACATTATTTTTAATACATTTGTCTCAGTAATTGTACTATTAGTAAATTCATTTCTCTGCAAAAAAATTCGAATAAATTATTTAATTAGTTTCAATTTGTATTTATTACTTTAAAATAGATGTTTTTCACATAAGTTTTTGAAAAAAGAACATAATCAGAGGCAAGGGAAACTGGAATGAATTATAAACCTGTAAAGTGTATCTGTACCATTATCCAGCGGTGATTGTATTCCGAGCTTTTCGTATTACTCGTCTGGCTCAAAAAAATA